CAGGTTGCAACTCCATGGAGGATTTGACAGCCCAAAAAGCCAGCGGGGCCTGGGGAGGGGGCCTGGATGGATGAGGAGCAAGGCCCACACTCCTACCCCATTTCAGGCATCCCAGGGCAGTGTTTTCCGGGATGGATTTCTCCCTGGTGTCAGGCAGCAGCAGCAGCAGCAGCAGGACGGGCGGCGGAGGCGAATTTCGCTGAGTGGTTGTTTTTTAAAAATAACTTTGCCTTTGTCAGCAGGTCAGGGTTGCTCCAGATTGAATAATCACAGCCGCCCAGCCCTCCCCTGCTCCCGGGCGCTCGCTGGCAGCCCCAGCCCGGGATGCGTCGGGCGGATGCTGGACCACATCTCCTTCTCCAGCATCACTGTCCCCAGGGGTTGAACATCTCATGGGCGACACCACCCTGCATCCCCCACCCTGCTTCCCACTAAAGTTGCTGCTGGTGGGGACACCCTGAGCTCACATCCCCGGGGCTGGAGGGGTAACGGGGGGAGCTGCAGGAGGAGTCAGAGTGCACGGGGCCGGAGCCATCGGGCGGTTGCCAAAACGGCTGAGTCACGCAGTAATTACGCCTTAAATGTGAGCACGTTCGTGCAGGGATGAAAGATGCTCACATGAGCGGAGGCAGGGAGCTCGCCCGCTCTCCCCCCCGCCGAAGGGAAGGAACGGATCCAGCCGCCTTTTGTTGGGAGCAGGGAACGTGACCCAGCTCTGGATGGACAGGAGGGAGCGCGGGGGTGGTGCGGGAAACCTGGGGCAGAACAGAGAAGCAGCAGGGGAAGCAAACCCTGATGGCAAAGAGTGGTGCCTTTGGGTGAACTGCAGCAAAGCCAGTGATGCTTGGACCGGGGATGGCAAGGCAAGGGGATGCCTGCATGGCACAGTTCGAGGGCTGGGCTGGCTTCCAGGAGGGAGAAGTTTGGAAAGATGTGAAGCAATTCGGCAGCACCGGCCTCGCTGGGCACCTACAGCATCGGGAGGGGGAACAGAGCACATGGGAAGGATGCTGTGCTACCTGGGACTGCATCATACCCAAGGGGTGCTCTGGGAAAGGGGGAGGGGGGAATGAAACCCCACCAGACACATCCCCTGTCCTCTCCCAGGTGGGATGAGGACAAAGGGATGGGCCACTTGCAGAGGCCAAACTGCCTCTGGACACCCAAGAGCTCTCCAGAGAGCCCCTGTTCCCCATCCCAGTCTCTCTTTGGGGTAGCTTGGGGACCAGTGCTGGTATTGCACAGACAAACTTTGGTCTGGAGAGGGAGTGGGTGCAAGTGCAAGAGCCACAGGTGCCTTATTGCTGCCTACAAACACTGCAGGGCCACGGTGGGCAGGGAGACGCCTGCTTGGCTGGGACTCCATCAGCAGGACATGGGAGAGCAGACACTGAGAAGGGGTTCAGCCTGCCAGGAGCTGCTGTTTGGGGTCCCCTGGGCCCTTTCCCCCCCCAGCAGAGTGGTGGCACGCTCAGCATCCTCTCGCAGACGTCCTCAGGCGCCCTTTGCCGAGCTGGCGGGGACACAAGGTCTCCCCGTCGCGCCGCTGTCACCGGAGCGAGTGCCAACAGCGAGGGCAGATCTTGCAGAGAAATCCTCAGCCTTGTTCAGGTCTGATTTACACCCCGGAGACGCCGCCGCGCTCGGCGGAGCCGGCGCTGATTGATGGCAGCGCGACAGCCTCACACCCCGCGCCATCTGCACCCGCAGCCCCGGCCACCCGCCCTCCTGCAGCCCCATCTGCCCCCCGTGGCATCGCCCCACGGAGCCCTTCCCACCACACCACCACCAGGATGGAGGGATGATGCTCCCCAGCACCCTGAGGCACCCTTGGCTGCCTCCACCCCCGTCGGACTGCGGTGGGACTGTGCATCCCGGTGCAATCCCTGCATCACCAGGGTCCACCACCCCTCTCGCTGTGTTGCCTGGTGGGTGCCAGCTCTGCCAGAGGCTGATCCAGGGGCAGGGATCTTTCCACATACCCGTGGCTCATCTGCAGTCGCTCCCTCCCTCATCGCAAAACGCCTCCCTGATCCCTTCCCGCTAAAATCAAACCCATTTGGGTTTGGGATCAACACTGGGGATGGGGTGGCTTTGGCCTCCCACTCTCCTCCTCAGCCCTCCAGGCCATTTCAGAGGTGAGAAAGGAAATCGAAGCTTTGGTTTTCCTCCGTTTTTCTTTTTTTTTTTTTCCCACTAATAAAGGGAGCAATTTGGGATTGTGCTGCTGGCGGCGCGCCGGCGCTCTCCGGGCTGATGGGGGGAAACGGGGAGGGGGGATATAAAAGGTTTCATGCGGTGAGCCGGGCACTCAGGGAAGAGGCTGAAAGGGGGTGGTGAGTGCTTTGTATTTCATGCTTGAAGGCACTGAGGCTTTTACCAGCCTTCCCTCGATGATTTAAGACAAGCTCTGCAGTTCAGGAGGGGATCAGAGCCACGTCTGGCAGCTCGGCGGGACCCCCCAGGTGTGCCCAGGGTTTGCTTGGTCCTGGATCAGAAATGCCCCATATGGGCAGGGACCAGCTGGGGGGTTTGTGGGGCAACTACAGAGTCATTTGAGGGGCATCTCCAGGTCACGAGCCTGGTTTAGGCATCTGCCCTGGGATGTGCTTTATGGGAGCAATGGTGAGCTCTGGTCCCTGCTGGCCACCCCTGCCCCTACCTGCTCAGCACCTCATCTGCAGCAAGAGGGGTCTCATCCATCTCTACCCACAGAGCTTATCCCTTCTCAGAGGGTTATTTACTGTCGGAGTGTTAATCCTATAGAAGAGGGTGGACACAGCCTGTGGGGTCCTCTCACACCCCCAGATCCTCCTGAGCTGAGACCTCAAGAGGCAGAGCCCCCCAAAAGCAGGTTATTGCCCCCCCCAGGCTGTGCAGATGGGCAGGGGGTGTTTGCAGCCAACTGCTCCCTGGCACAGGGGTCTGGGGGGATCAGCCACATCCCTCTGACCCATTTGCTCCGGAGCACAGGGTGCAGCCCATGTTTTGGGGAGCACTGGGGCCCAATCTCAGGCTTCAGCCACAGGAGCAGCACATTTGGGACTGAGGTTTTTCCTGTTCTCCCAGCCCAGCACCGTGGGCTCCATCGGGTGGGTCAATGCCCTGGGACCTGGCCCCCCAAGTGCACCCCAGGGCAGGAACATCTCCTCTGGATCCCCTGTTCTCCACCCTCCATCCCAGCCACCTCCATCCCTGCAGGTCCCACAACCCTGTCCCATCCCATCTCCCCAACTGACCTAGATCCAGCCCAATCCCCCTCTTTCCATCTCCCCCACAGTCTATATAAGCTCTGAGCAGCCCCAGCTGATTTTCTCCTCTCTGGGCTTTGGGCTTTTTTCTCTTTTCTCCCCTTTTTTCTCTTTTTTCCCCTTTTTTCTCTTTAACTCTGCCTGTGGATGCTTGTCTGCTGTGCCAAGGCTCTTCTGCTCATCCTGGGCTGGGAATGTGGATGGGAAACAGGCTGGAAGGATGAAGGATGCTGCATGGTTGGGTCAGACCATGGCAAATAAATGGTGTGAGCAGCAGCAGGATCTCCTGCCTTGGTGATGTCCTGGCTGGGTGATGTCAGGGGGTGGGAGAGAAAAGGGGCTGCAGGTTTGTCTGCAGCTGAGGGGGGAACTGGAAAGGAGAAGTGAGGGTGTGAGGGATGGTTGTGCAGGGCTGAGGTTTGCTGGGGAATGGAGGGGAAGAGTGAGCTCCAAACCCAGGCTTAGGGGTGACGGTGGCCAAGGATGGGGCTGCAGCAAGGATACAGGTGGGAGCCTGAGGGTGCAGGGGAAGCATCAAGGGAGCACCTGGGTTTGGGATGCACCTGGATGGGGAATGAGGAAAGCTCAGCATCATGGGGAAAGCCCCTTGGGAGCCCCCTCAGCACTGCTGGCTCCTGGCAGGCTGGAACACGGGGGCTTCAGTGCACCCCAGCTTTGGGTGCCGTGCCTGGGGTGACACCAGCCGAGGAAGGAACCCCACTTGGTACAGTCATGCCAAGGGCTTTATTGAGGAAATCCCAGGAGAATTGAATGTCAGGCTGCTCCTGACAAGTGGGAGAGCCCTGGGTGGTCCCCTACCCCTCAGACCCCTGGGTGGCTCTGCAGGGTGGGGACACAGGGACTCCTCTCCGGGTGGGAATGGGGCCTGGCCAGGGCACAGGCAGAGCTGATAACCCCTGGCTGCCCTTCCCGAGCAGAGGGAGCTGCAGATAAAAGCTCCACAGGCAGAGCAGGGCTCAGCTCCAGGCCTGGCTTGGGCTGATACTGTCCCTGAAGGGCGACCTCTCCCTTGGGCTTGGCTCAGCCCCACAGACCAGCCAACTACCCCTCTTTACCCCAAATTCCCCCCGATAAGCAGCTTGTATCGCTCTGATTGACCCGGGTGATACCCCAGGCGTGCCCTTCCCTGCTCCTCTTCGGGTCTGACCACACTTTTGGGGGAAAAAAATTCTCGTTTATTATAAAACCTGCAGCCATGCCCAGATCCGCCTGCAAACCCCCGCGAAACCCTCCGGCATCGCAGGTCAGGAGGAGCTGGAGGGGGGGAAGCAGCTGCTTTGGGGATTATTAATGAGCAGCGAGTGATGGGAAAGGCGAGGATCAATTGAAACAAAGGAGTTCAATGGTAAAAAGAAACGTTTGCGGAGTAATGGGAGTCCATTTCTCCAGCCGACTGTCGGAAACGCATCCTGTTAAACATCCATCAATTATCCCAGCTTGCAAATGCATTAGAGTAATGAGGAATTATCCATCAAATACACTTAAAGCCAGTGCCCCCCTCTGCCAGCCGCCTTGCAAAGAGCCACTTCAGGAAGGGAAAATAGCCTGAAGGTGGGTGGAAACCCAGAGGGGGGGGTGGCAGTGAGGAGGCTTCAGGGCTGCATCCTCTGGAGTCTGGTCCAGTTCAGAAGATGCTTTCCCAGCTCCCTGGGCAACTCCTGGGATTGCTGCCTCCTTCAGTACCCATGTTGCTTCAGAGAGCCGTGGTGACACTGGCTGGTGCCCCCCATGGGCAGCCCAGGTACCTGGTCCATGCCTCAGTTTCCCCATCCTGCCCGTAGCACTGCCTGGGGTCACCCATGGGTGCTGCTCGTGACCCCATCACCTCTTACCAGGAAGAGAAGTAGTGGTGAGCCTGGTGTGTGGTCTGGTAACTAAATTCCCAGGAATCTGCCACCACCTCCCCCTGCATCACCCACACCCCCCATGGCCCCGTATGGCCCTGGGGTTGGCAGAAGGAGCATTTGGAGGGTAAAGGGCCTTGCAGCCCCTTGGGATGCCGGTCCCTGGGCAGGGCTGGATGCAACCAGCAAAAAATAACAGGACCTGGCAGGGAGGATCCTACTCTGCCATCCACAGGAAGGGGTTCCTGGAGCCCCCATTGCCCTCGTGGGGTCTGAGGGGCTGCAGGTCCAGTCCCTGTGCGTGTTGGGATGAGGGTTTGGAAAGCGGCAGGAGCGCTGCAGGATCTGAGCACGCAGGAACATGAGGGATGTGACTTGGGACAAGAGGGTCTGGGATTGGTGGTCCTGGGTAACCTAAAAGGGTTTGATCCCTTCAGTGCTGGATTCAGGGCTGATCCAGGAATTTTCCATCCCAGGTGATGCAACCTCGCGGCAACCCCTGAGCCAAGGTTTCGGTGTCGTGGTGTGAGGGGACACGTCCTCTCCCCAGGGACAGGGCTGGATTTACCAGGGCGTTCCCCCGGCAGCAGGATTTGGGGAGTCAGGGCTGCTCTGTGGTGTTTAGGTGTGGATTCTCTGATGTCTGGTGCTGTGGTTGTGGGCACGCTCCTGCCTCTCCCTCCGTGTAGGGGGAGGACTGAGGAGCAACAGTCGGAGTTTCTCCTGTCTGTGCCCCTGCCTGGTTCTTCCTGACTCTGCAGGCACAGCTCAGGTTGGGGTTGGAAGTGGCCAGCAGGTTCAAAAGTCCCTGGGAGGAGGCAAGAGGGCAACCAGAACATCGCAGCCTGCATTTCCGACAGCTCCTGGTCTTTCCAAGGGTTCATATCTCCATCTCCCAAACCCCTCTGGCAGCCCTGTCCAGGCCCAGCAGTACCAGCCTGGGCAGGATACCAGAGCATCCCTCAGTCCATGGCAAGCTGAGCCTTCCTGGCAGAGCGCTGGGTCTGATAACAGTGACTGCCATTAGGTGTCACAAGAGCATCAGGTCTTTGCTCCTCCTAAGAAGATGAGCAGTGGCATGAGACAGGAGGGATGGGATGGTGAAGTGGCCCTAGGGCTGGGTGGCACCTTGGAGCCCCAGGCAGGGAAGATGCAGTCCCCTCCCAGAAGCAGAAGTTCATGTCCCTCATGGTGCCACTGTCATCCCTGGAGGTCACCATCCTCCTGCCCTGGCTGTCCCTTTCCCTGTCACCTCCTGAGTTTCCTGCCCTGGCACTGGGGACAGGCAGGAGGTGGCACCAGGTTCCTGCTGTCCCACACTTGTCCCTTCAGTAACCTGCTGTGTTTTATTGTGCAGAAGCAAAGGCAGCAGCTGCTCTTGGGGAAGCGGCTGGTGCTGGTGCCTCACTCATCATCACAGCTCCCTCCTGCAGCCAGTGTCCTCCCAGTATCCTCCCAGTGCCCAGGAGAAGCCCAGGGCTGAGTTGCTCCCAGTTCAGGATGTATCCAGCTGTGGAGGCTGTGAGGGCACAGCTGGGCAAGCCCTGGATGCTCATTTACAGAGGGATGGATGCTCTGGGGTTTGTGCCCTCCTGGGATTCCCAGGAGGCCCAATGCCACCTCCCACTGCCCCACACCAGGGGCAGGTGCTGTGCTCAGATAATCTTCCAGGAATTTGCAATTCTTCCCCCAAATGCCACGTCCCTCTTTAATTTTGCAACATGACCTAAAACAAAGCAACGTCCCTGATAAGGCACCACTGGGAAAAGCCTTTCTATCCTCTGCAATGCCGGGCACGAAGCTGCGGTGAGCTGATAAAGCCTAAACACCGACTTCCCTAGGGGAAGGACCAGAGCAGGAGCCGCCTCCGGGAGCATCTCTCCCCCTTCTCTACCGCTGGCTGGAGGTGGCCGAGCGGGAGAGCCCCGAGCGCTGGGCTGGGACGGCTTCCCGGCCCCGGGTGACCTCCCAGCATCACGTCATCCCTTCCCTCTCGGAGAGGCTGAGTTCATGTCTGGCCTCCCCGGAGCTGGGGACTGCTCCTGGCCTGCCTGTCCCGTCCCGTGCCCAGACACCGGGGTGATGCCACCGCCGCAACGCCAGTAACTCAGCTGGGTCCACGCCCTGGGTGGGCACTGCATGTCCCCTGGGGGCCTCTGGGGGATGTGACGGGGTGTCCCGGGGCGCTGCGCACCCCAAAACCCGGGCTGCAGGACTCGCAGGCTCCGGTCACCAGCGGCACGGGAGGCTCGGCGAGGGGCTGGCGGCGTGGGGATGCTTTCCCGGTGACTCACAGCATTCCTCGCAGGTCAGCGGCGGCCGGAGGACACCCCGACAGCCCTCGCCGCCCCTGGCCTCTGCCTGAACTTCGCTGGCAAAGCAACTCCCCCCGCGCCACACGCCGGGGGTCCTCGGCCCCGCAGCTGCACAGGGCAGGGGGAGGCAGAGGGGTCCCACCAGGTGGCCCCGGGTGAGGATGGGGACAGGGGACAGAGGGCTCGTGTGAGTATTCACGCTGGCAAACTGACCTCTCCGTGGCCTGGGTGTTTCCTCTTCCAGTTCTGCAGAACCCCGAAGAGGAACAGGCTTCCCACAAACACCTCCAGTGCAGCCCCAATTCCGAGCACCCCCCAAGCTCTGCCCACCCCTGTGCCTCAGTTTCCCCTTGTTGGGGAGAGGTGCTGACCCCTTTGACGCACAGAGAGAGCAGAGAGAGTTCCCATTGCTTCTCCTCTCCCCCCAGCTCCTTTTGGGAACATTCCAGCCCATTCACTGCTTGGATTTCCCCTTCTCCCCCAAACATTTCCCTTTATCTTTTCAACCTGAGCCCTTTGAATCCACTCCCGGGGAGTGGCACCTCGGGGTGCTCCCCCCAGCAAAACCCTGCATCTCACTGCATCCCACCACCCGCAGCCATCCTGCTCTGTTGCCATCCATGTTCCATGTCACAAGGGGGTCAGTTCTCTTTGCTGCTGCCAGAACCCCTTCCCAGCCGGGAGCGGGAATGGGACCGGGAGCAGGGCAGGATGAGTGCGGAGGAGCAGAGCCGGTGGCAGCGAGGTGGCCCCGCAGCACGTGAGCCCCCGCCGTGGCCGTGGCCGTGTCCTGCCGGCTGCCCGGTGCTCAGCACACAGGAATGCCGTGAGTTTGCAAAGTGGTTTCAGCGAGACGTTATCTAATGGAGGAGGAGGAGGAGGGTGGATTAAGCCAAACCCACAGCTCCGGCTTTCAATTAGACCAAGCGAATTTACGGCTTCTCCTGACACAGTAAACACGCCCTTGATGGGGTCCCGACCTGGCATTTCCCCTCCGTGCCCTGGCAGGCAAAGGGAGCAGCATCCTGTGGGTGCTGGTCCTGTGGCAGCGAGGAACCCCCTGGCTCTGCATTATTCATCACCACACAAAGGACAGGGAAATGTGGGTGATGCCGTGGTGGGCACTGTGCCCTGAATCTGTCCCACCACAGGGACCTACCTAGGCTGCAGGGATGGGGAAGTGATGGGGGCAGAGATGGAAAGCTGGGAAAAGAAACAGCCCTGCAGCATCCACTGGATGGGAGAGATGCAGCCCCAGGGCTCTGGGTAACGCAGCAGCACCCTGGGATGGAGGGTGCTGTGGTCCCATGGGTGGGTGATGCTCAGTGGCCTTTCCCCAGAGCTCCCCTCCATGTCCCTGCATCAATCCTGCCATCCCTATGCCTCAGTTTCCCCCTGGGAGCAGGGAAGGGTGCCAGCTTTCTGGGTGTGGTGGCAGAAGGGTGAGCTGGGCAAGCTGGATGAGCCAAGAGAGGATCTCGCAACTGGAGCCGGGAGCATCCCAGTGGCACTGCAGACCAGGGCTGGGCTCGAGGTGCACCCACACGTGTGCCAGGGCACGCCTGGCATCTGCTGCCAACAGCCTGGTCCTGCCCAACCACCTCTGCCACCCAAGACAGGGCAGTCAGCAGCAGCCCCTCACCCCTCATCCCGCAGCAAAGAGGTCTGGCAGGGACAGGATGGTGCATCCTGCCCCGCAACCCCAGCACTGCTGGGCATCCAAGGCCCTCTGAGCCCTTTTGGCCACGGAGGTGGAGACCTGGGCATGTGCTGACGAGGGGATGAGGCCGCAGTAGCTGGGTGGGTGGCACAGAGCAGCCTCCCAGCCCCGCCGTGCCATGGCAGCGCCCCGGATGCAGGCACCCGGCCAGGAGCGTGACGGAGGAGCCTGGCAGGGCTGCTGGGGTGACGTCCTGGCACCGCTGCTGACGTCTGACGGAGGGAAAAGCCCTCCCTAGAGCAAATAAGCACCTGGGCTGTGCAAACCCGGCTTGGCGGGCGACTCCAGGCAGGTATCTGGGTCCCATCTGGCCGCTGTTTACCTGCCCGCTGGAATCCACCCTGCAAACTTCCTCCTTGCATGGCCCAGATAAGGCCAAGGAGCCACTGCTTGGCCATGCACTGGCCTGGCAGGGAGGACCCTGGAACAACAGACCCCGAGCTGGGTGTCCTGAGGGGATGGTGATCCCCCGGGGATGCCTTTGCCCCTACACAGGGCAGTGCAGAGTGGGTCCCAGTGGGGTTTTGGGGGATTTGAGCACCCAGCGCCCAGCCCCTGCCAGGTCCCTGAGCCAAGGGCCAAACCCTGTTAGCACCGGCCTGGCTCCGAGCAGACCCTGGAGCTGCAAGCCCAGGGAGCAGGCAGGGCTTGCTGGGTCCCCTTCCAAGAGGGTCAGGCAGGTCATGGCATCCCCATCACTGCCTCAGCTTCCCCTCAGCCAGGCTCTCCTGTCCCTCCCTGACCCGCGGCAGTGGCTGCTGTGGCGTGCAGGGACCTGCCACCACGCAGGGAGGGGACGGTGCTGGGTACGCCTGACTCGGGCAGGACCCTGCCTGCCGTTCCCTGCCGCCCACTTCAAATC